TTGCTATAGTGTGAGAACGTGATACCTCTAAGGCGTTCAGGAAGATACCTAGAAGGGAAACAGGGAACTCCCTGGGTCAGGTGGAATCTATAGTCTAAATTTGTTGAAGAATCTCCCTGATTTCCACAGTGCTTGTAGTTTACATTCCCACCAGCAATGTAGAAGGGTTCCTTTCCCCCCAAAGCCTCTCCAGCACTTTTTATTATTTGATTTCTTTTTTTTAATAATAACATTTTAGGGTTGGGGAAATGGCTCAGTGGAATAAGCGCTTTACTGGCAGGTGCAAGGGCCTGAGTTCAATCCCCTGGTTCCACAAAAAAAATAAGTACAATAATAAAATTTTATTTTTTCCAAATGTACACCTGGTTGAACCTATTCATCATGCGTCTTCACCAGTGGGAGGGGCATCTCCACCTTTGGTATTTCTGGTATAAATAACTGGAACACTGTGCTTTGATTGTGTTTTGTGGGTTTTTTTGTTGTTTGTTTGTTTGTTTGTTTTTCCGTTGTTGTTATTTTTTGGCGGAACCAGGGATTGAATTCAGGCCCTTGTGCTTGCCAGGGAAGCGCTTAGTCTACTGAGCCATCTTTGCAACCCCACCTCCCCCTTTGCTTTGAGACCAGCTGGATAAGCCCTTTCCTAAGGAGCTTGGGGGCCTGCCCTTTAGCTCAGTTCTTTAAGTGGCTGCTTCAACAAAGCAGTCAGGCTCAGGTTGCTGTGGTTGATCCCCACAACTCAAGCCAGCCAAAAAAAAAAAAAAAAAAAAAATCCTCCTAAGGAGCTCCTGAAGGGCTGCTCTGGCCAGTGACGCTCTGGTCTTCAGTCTCTGAGACCACAGCAGCGTTATAAGTTTATAGTTGGAAACTTCCTCACAGAATTTGTCATAAGTAGCTTTATCAAACAGAACCAGATTGTTGAGCTTGTCCCAAACTTTGCCTTTGGACCACTTCTTCTTTTTGGCCTTGCCCCCAGACTTGTTCACTGGGTCTTTGCCTTTCTTGGCCGACTTTCCAGCATCCTTCTTCTTCTTGACTTCTTTGGGCGGCATCGTGGAGCCCGGAGAGCAGCGGCTACCACTGCAGGCCCGTCAAGATGTTGGACAGAAAAAGCAATTATTTGATTTCTTAGTGACAGCCATTCTTTCTGGAGTAAGATGGAATCTCGGTGGTATTTTGATTTACATTTTTCTAATGGCAAGCAATATTAAGCATTTCTTCATGTCCTTATTGACCACTTATATTCCATTGTGAAGAGTCTACCCATTTCACCTGTTTTTAGTTTCTATTTTCTTTTGTAGTATTAGGGATTGAACTCAGGACCTCGCGCTTGGCAGGCAGACACTTAACCCACTGAGCTATCTCCCCAGCCCCACCACCTGCCTATTTTTTGATGGGGCCTTTTACTTTGAGCATTTAATTTTTTTAGTTCTTATTTATTTATTTATTTAGTGGAACTGGGAATTGAACTCAGGCCTTTGGGCTTGCCAGGGAAGCATTTATTCTACTGAGCCATCTCCCAACTCTA